ATTTTTTCTATTACCAGCCTTCCTATGGATCATTTCACTCCATCTTTCTGTGACCACTGTTCTCCATATGGAATACCATCACCATCCACTCTATTTCCAACACAATACCCCAAAGGGTATCCCAAGCTCACAGACTGCTATACCCAGAGAAACACTTGTCATCTGAAATCATTTCTGGGGCAACTGAAACCTCTCTTGCACCAGAAAGTAAAGTGGTAAGTAAAGAGAGTAAAGGCCCCAATGTACTTAGAAACCTGAACAGCCTGATGCCAGGCTAAATACCAGATGACCATACTAATGCAAAAGCATTAAGCTGTGTGGCACTTTCCCACTATTGCTACCTGTTTAGGATAATACTCCTTGAACTTGTTTCCTTTTACAGGAGGATGAAAACTGCAGAGCTGTGTTTAGCAATCCTTCTGTAGTTTACACACCAAAAAAAAAAACTGATGGAGCCATCCAGTGAGTCATTGTTTTCCTTCACTCACATTTTAGCAAGCCTCAGAGCAGGATGTTTGAAAGCCACCTCTGCTATGTGAGGAAACAGCTTATCAGGCATATTGATCCTCAAACTCACCTTCTTGAATGTCTAAAATGACTGAGTTCCCATTCATGCCTACAAAGCAGTTTTGCTCCTTCCCCAGTGAAAAGCAAGAGGAACACCTGCCTCTGTACTGGCTGGCTCTGCAGCTCAGAGCCACTCACATTGTCACAAGGTGACATCTTAGGGACACTGGCTGTTTGTAATGGTGAGCTGGACTTGGTATTTTGCAAATATTTTCCTTCTCCTCTGCATAATATTTCCTCCCTCCCCTTCCTCAGCCCCTCCCCTCAGAAGCAGCTTGTTTTTCTGGAATACATTAAGTTCATTTCTCATTATTTCAGTGTTGATTCCTTTGATTCTCCCTTCCAGGGCAGAGCCTACAGAATTTTTGTGTCGATTTTTGTCCGAGGCAAATAGAGTTTTCTTTGATCATCCTTGTTTTGCTAATTTTGGATACTTTGAGGGGAATTAACATCTGTTTTTAGTATGAAGAGGAAACTCTCCCCTCCTCTCTTTCTGCAGGTTCTTGATCTGAATAGAGCAGATGGCAAACTATGCCTTTACATGTTACTTCCTTGGAGATAGGAGATATTGAATCCCCAGGGAGGGATTTTTAAGAGGAATAAATTAAGTGGTCGTAACACTGAGTTACAAGACTACAGACACAAAGTAATGTGAAATTCAAAAAAAAAAAAATGTTTATCCAAGTCTACCTTTAAACATAAGCATAAATTTGAGAGACCTTGGTGAAACTATAAATAAGTTTATAATTATGCATATGGAAAAACAGCTTCCCAAATTAAGGCATAAAATATTTTAATTGAAAGACACAAATCTTTTTGCAGAAGGAGTCCAAGGCCTAACCCAGCTGACTCCCACTAACATTAATGCAATTAAAATGGAAATACTCCTTCTGCATGAGAATTGTTTGCATATGGCTCATTAGCAATGCTATAACTCTCTACACTTCACCCTCCAGAGATGTTACTGGTGAACAGATACATAATGTCCCTAGGCTGTGACAATGCCAGGGAAAACCCACATCCAGAGTCTCTGGTTGAAGTGCATGCTGACTGAGCACAACTCATTAACCAACATTAGTAACTTACATTCCTTTTCTTCCCAAAAAAACGTGACAACTTTACGCCACTTTTGAGTGCAAATCCTAAAGGATTATTGTAGTTACATAGCATAACTCTGTTAATGAGCATCATCAATTCTCACTGCCAGAGCAAGTTCAATGCTTCTCAGGCTTGCAGAAAACATTCCTTCCTCATCTTGAGTATGGGTAGAGCAGGGAACCTGCAATCATGTAGGTATCACAGCATATAGCAGGGAACCTGCAATCATGTAGGTATCACAGCATATAGCAGGGAACCTGCAATCATGTAGGTATCACAGTATAGAGCAGGGAACCTGCAATCATGTAGGTATCACAGCATATAGCAGGGAACCTGCAATCATGTAGGTATCACAGCATATAGGTGGCAATTAAGTACTGGTCCCCTCTACTTGGTACTGGTGAAGAATACTGTGTCTAGTTTTGGGTCCCTAGGTTCAAGAGCATGGAGAAAATGGAGAGTGAAGAGCAGAGGGCTACAAAGGTGGCTGGATGGATAAAATGTGACATATGAGAAGAGGCTAAAGGAATTTGCCCTGTTTAGTCTCATGAAGAGGAGATTAAGGCAAGACAAACGTGGTATCTCTACTCCTTCCAGTTCTATCAGAGATTTTAAAAGGGACAATGGCCCCAAATTTAAGCTACAGCCATTCATTATGGCCAGAAATCTTTTTAGATGGAACAATACTGCAGCAATAGAACAAGTTACCTACAGCACCCACATCTTTGTCCTTGAAACCTTCCAATAAAAACCACAGTTGAGCAGGTCAAATGCTAGTCCCAGCTGAGAGCAGATTGGATGCAATGATGTTCCTATGCTGTGGCTAGTCTCCAACTGAGTTTAGATTGATCCATTTATACATTTTGTTCATGCTGGTCCCCCAGACGTTGCCCCCCTTATGGATCTGCTGCTTCAAAAACTCAGGGATACTGCTAAAGGTCTGCTGAATGTCATTACTGTGAGGAGCAAATATGATAAACCCCATGTATTATGACCTGTATCTCATATATTTTACCTCTCAGCAAAGGTATTTCTAAACATAAGAAATATGTTCATCTGGAGAGCTTTTTCCCAAATTTGGAAAACAATGGCAGATTAAAGCATCAGAAATACCTTAAATTTAATCATCTGGCACATGTTTACTGATAACATTAAACTCCTCATTTGTCTCTCCCTCTCGCTACGACATTAGCATCACATGCAGTGCTAGACTGAGAGACAAATCATATCTGCACCACAACAGAAGAAGGAGGTTAACAGGGGAGCTAAGTATGGCACAGGCTGGGCAGTGTCAGGTCTGCAGGGCATGGTAAGAACCCCACAGCACAGGTCTTCCCACACCTGGCCTGGCCCAGTGACAGCTCGGTTGTACCTGGAGGGCGCAGCCACCTGCTGCGTTTGCCCTTGCTGTGATTTACTGAGCTGAGGAACAGAAAAGAAAAGGAAAACAGCATGCCTGTAGTTGCATCAGTGTTGCTTCACCACCTGTAAGTTACAAAGAAAAGCCTCGCTGAGCAAACATGGTCACAGATCTGTGGACACCTCTCATTTAAAAAGTGGAATCAGAAATTCGGTAAAGTGTTTCAGTGCAGTTTTTGACCTCTCACTAGAAACACCAGTGTCACTGGTGACATATTTATCTACCATACTATGTGCTATAGCAACATATGCTCATAAACACTCCCTTTTACAGTTCTCAGCTGCTGCACAATTGCTCGTCACTTGTTCATTGTATGGCAGCAGAGCTGTTTGTTAGTGAAGCTCACCATCACTGAAGAACACACGTCCTGCATTTCCCTTCAGCTGACTGTGATGTGCAGTTAGTTGCAAAGTACAAAGTCAGCTGCAGCTGATTGTAAGTCCAAACTAGTAGCACTTGAAGCATTAGTTTGGGTTACTCACATGAACTGGTAATATCATCCAAGAGCCTCATCTCAATATACTATGGAGCAACACATAACTAGCTAAAAGATATAAATATCCTTGAAGTCAAACTGCCCATATTGGCAACAATACTGACAGAGTTCATGTACAAGAAAGATGAGGCAATGAATTTTACCAACAGACATTTTAATCTGCTTTAATATACCAGTGTCTTAGGCACCAGGGAAGTTAATTACCTTTATTATTTTCTTGAGCATTGTCTTCAGTTCAATCATTGTAATGTAATGAACTCCTGAAATGGAATTTAATTTTATACTATTCAGGCCTTTTTTTTTTTTTTTTGAGAAGTGTGTTGTGTAACACATAGGGCAACTTGGCAAGATTCAATGATGAGTTCTACAAATAGGAAGCTTTAATATTTATTTTTAGTAGAGGGCATACAACACCTCTTGAAATACATGTATTACTGTGCTATCAGTTAATTAGAATAAAAATTTCTGCCAAGACCTACAGTAAGCAGCACTGCAGTGCTTTACTTCACTGCAGTGAAGTAAAGAGTGGGAGTATTTTTATTTTTTTTTTAACTTATGAAAGAGGATTCATTACTGTGATGCTAAACAGGTGGTAGAGCAACTCGGAGCTCTTCTGGGACTGATTGCCACTTTGATGCTTGGCACATCAGAGTTTCCAGCAAGCTCTGATACATCCTATGATTAGAACCTCAGTTTCTTTAGAGATCATATGCTTCATATGGTAGGATAACATAGTTTCATCAGGAAGCAAATAAAACAAGAAAAAAACCCAGCCCATAGCAGAGTAGCTCAGCTTCCTATAAATCCTGGTTGTCTGAGGGAGTGGTGTAGCTCTTCAATTTGAAATCTGACTACCAACACAGTAGTCAACTACCAACACTGTCCTTACACAGTTCAGCTGAAGGTTTTTCATTTCAGTCACATAAAGACTCTCAGTATTTCCAAATTGCCCAGTGGACTTTTCAGCGCAACAAATCTTCAGCTGAGAAATTCTGGTGCAACTGAACAGGACATTGGCACCTCCTAGAATCAAATCCGACCTTCCCAACAACAAACATCAGCAAGCACTATTAGCTTACTACCTTTCCTTCACACACACTTACCATTAATATTTGGCCAGCTGAAACTTCTGTGGGAAGGGAGTTAATCTTTCAATGTGTATATACTACATCACACCACATAAGGCAACTCCTTCCTCCTTTAAAGTGAAATGTGCTATCTAAGAACAACACTAGAATACAAACGTAAATCTAAGCTCAACTCCCTTTTTAAGATGTCCAGCAAATGCACTAGAAAATGCTCCCCACTAAGAGCAATACAATTAATTCCCTTGCTTCATCAGAGGGACTGATGAAATGGATATCAAATGCCACTCTGTTGACCTGCCTTGGAATATGCACTGCATAAACAGGTACTCACATTCCATAAAGTAGGGGCCAGGTTCAATTCGCCACACAATTTGTCCTTTTTGCGTGCCAGTCACTCCCCGATTCTTGGAATCCCAGAAATTGGCTGGAGAGTTCTCATCTGAAGGAGGGAAGACAAAAAATAATTTCAGCAAGTAGTATTTAAAATAGAAGTTTTCTTGGCTTTCTGTTTCAAGAGGCCCAGATACAAAAAATTACTTGTATTAAATTAAAAAATTAAAGAAATCGAATTAACTGGCAAAAATAAATAGCTTCTCTTGTACACTCGATAGATCAATTTATGCAGAGTGAGCAGACAGACACACAGCCAAAGTAAATATATGGCTTCCTGTAAAAGGTGACCTGCCAAGGTACAGTATTAAATTCCAAACTTCCTTAATCCAACAGAGAGGCTATTGGGAGTGTACAGCTGATTGAAACTGCATCACAGAGTTACCACACCATGTTGTACACCAGTCCTGCTCTGTGATGTGAAAATCTAGCATGCATTCCCTAGCTGGGAAATGCAGAATTGTAACTAGGGGTATCCCGTTAGAGGCCCAAAGTGCAGAACTGTCAGTAAGCCACAGCTAGAAAGGAGAGATTCAGCAAAATGCATTCAGAGAAAACATTCAAAGCAAATAGTATCTGCAGAGCAGCTTAGCAACATCAGTATTATCCCTTCTCAAATTAAGATTTTTGTCCTAACAAACACAAGTCTTAGGGCCTTTTTATTTTCCAGCCTATATTCAAATACCCAGAACACCAAATGAATGAAACAAAACCAGGGCAAGAAGCTGGCTGAAAGGGCACAAAGGTTAGTTCTGATGACATGGACAAAGCTGACATAAATCCAACTAAACTCTTTTGTACAGGAAGTTCTTTGGAAGTATGTATTATGACATTTTACCAGTGCATTTCAGCAGCTGTTTCTCAACTAGACAAGAACTACACCAATGATGTCAAATACAACAACTTTTCCAGTGATACTGCATATTCTTTAATCTTACTTTTTTAAAAAAAATCCTTTTATTACATACATTTGAGTGCATTCTACAAATTTAAAGACTCGACTAAGAACCTAGTCTACTGAGGCTTTGTTCATGAAGCTCATATCCATTCAAGCACTTTCCTTTGTACTTTGGTAGGAACTCTCACGTAAGATTACAGAACTGTCACCTACATTTTAGATATCCATATGCTATTTATGAAAGAATAATAAACAATGCAGCTTTCTTACATTTATCTTAAAAATATGAACTCGCACTAAAGCTTCTCTTCCCCCCTTTCATTCTGATGGCTCATCTCAGTGTACAAGCAGTAACCCCACTGAATTAAGATGAGTGCGGTCTGTACAATCTCATCCCACCAAACCAACACACGGAACACTACCACACACTGGGCTTCTGTGCCTGTTCAAGAGAATTTACACACTGCCCAAAACCTAGAAGAGCTCTGGAGAATCAAGAAGGGGTCATGGCAAGCTACTGACATTTTTATGCCTCCAGCCATGGATAACTTTGAGAATTTTCAGAAAGCTGATGTCTCAACACCTCAAAATCATGACAAGTCCGGGAGAATTTCACAATTATCTCAATGACAAGGAGAAGGGACAGGAGGGTTCTCCTAACACTTGTGATCCTCAAGCTTGTAATGCCCTCAGGCTTAAGTGCAGAATCAACATGATAGGACACAAAGTACAGGCACCAGAAAGTCAGGCACACAGGCAGTAAAATCTTAAACTGCATGCATTTATTCTTCATTACAGCAAAAAATGCTTTCAGAATAAATGAAGCTGCATCTCACCCATGTTTTGTTGGGGCTTTTTCTGAAGTTGTATAAAGAGGAACACTGAATGTACAACCTCTAAATCACCCCACAGACTTTATAAAAAATCTCTACATGATTTGCAATGACACTTTAACCAAAAGAGCGCATTGTTGATGGATTTATTTACTTTTTTATTGTGCCTTCCTATCCCAAGGCTCCCTATTTTCTTTCAGAAGAGCACTGGGAAACCATGAGATATAGTTTAACTTCCAGCAACACTACACTAGGGACTGTTCTGGTCCACCATATAAACCTGGTTATCCAAAAGATCACTACCAAAAGTGAGCAGATTCTTTAAAACTACCAGTTATCTGAAACACAGTGTTTTAAACTATTCAGCACTCTCATTTCATCTAGGTAAATGAAGACGCATTCCTGACAGTAAACATCTCATCTAACCTGCTCTAGTTCTGATTTCTGTATTTAATCAGCTGGAGAAGAGTCTTTGCATGATTCTAAGAAGAAGGATGGATATTTGGTATATTATAACCATGAGTTTTTTTATTCTTATCTTGTTCAACAAATGAACAAAGCCTGAAGCAATGAAATACACCTTTATTGGTGAGATTTCCAACAATAAGGCACAAGCAACTGTTCTTTGTTTTTTAAATCAGTCACAAAGAAAAGTCAATGGCAATTTTTACAGGGATATTAGTAAGCTTCAGAAAAGGCGCTCCATGAAATGAGTCTCAAATTCCCAGCTGGTATGCAGAACGCTTTCTTTCACTTTATTAAAATCCCACATTTACAGAAGTGCCTGGATTTTCAGCCCTTTCATGAAGGAACCGACTCCTTTGCAGCAATGAAGACTAAATCATTGATACTCTGCCCACAGGCATGTTGCCACTGCAACAGAAGGTGGTAGAGACAGAGGGATGGAAAATGCTAACAGACCCTTGCCTGTCAGCAATCGACTCAAATTACAGAATTTATTTTGGTCAGCTTTGACTTTCTTCTGAAACAGATGGGTTTTTTCTACTTTTATGATGCTAGGGGAAATATAACATTACTAATACATATGGAAAAATTACTTCAAACATCAGTTCATGGATTTTAAAAAGAAAAACTGAAGGAAAAAAATGCATGGCATGAAAACATTGAAGTACACAGTAATCATAAAAATACTGACCAAAAAAAGGGAAGCATTTAAGAGCACAAAGAGCAACATCAGAATTATCACTCCCCCATCTCTTCTCTTCCCCCAAACATACATGCACACACACACACTCTCTCTCTCCATATTTATATACATATATATATATATATTCCATAGGGAACTTCGATTCTAAGCAGTTCTATTCTCCTTTTAGCACATAATTGTTGCTGTTTGTGAAACTGGCGGCTGTTCCAGAATCTGGGCCAAAGAGTAGATATAAATATCCCTTCCCAGAACATAAAATATGTAACAAAATACTGTCTTACTGCATCAGTATCTTGTCCAATGAGGCTACACTTCTGAAAGAAATAAAACAATGCAACATGCACAGTTTCTCTTTATCTTCAGTAATTCTTAGACATAAAATACAACAGAACAGAACTTCTCAGAGCTGCAGCCCTTGTATAAATCAGAGTATATGAGATGATGTTTTACAACAAAAAGTGGGTAATAAAAAATGTATCACTGTGTGGAATTACACTCTGAGTAATGCTCCTTGAAATCACTGTAAAGCAAAAACATTCTGAGTAACAGTGTTTTCTTTATTTAACTACTAAACAATCAGCCAAACCTGGCATTAAGAAAAGTTGCACTGGCACACTGTTGGCTCTTCCTCAGCTTCTCCTCCAGGACCTCCAGGTCTTCTTCTGCAAAGCTGATTTGCAGAGTCAGCCCCCAGCCCATCCCAATGTCAGGGGTTACTCCTGTTTCCCCATTTCTCCAGCCTGTCTGCCTGCTGCACAATCGTGTTTTATCATCTGCTACTGCCAGTTTTGCACAAGGATGTTATGGAGTGTTGGAAGCTGTGCTAAGCCAGTGTCTGACATCAGGGGTCAAGAGGTTTCTGAGGAGTTCATATTTTGTTCTTTGTGTCTTACATCTTTGCTTATTTCTGTCTTAGGAAAAAAGGATAAACTACCTGAAACCCATCACCTCACAGAGTCATCCTGCACAGACTAAAGCAACAAACAGATAAATAAGACAGTCTTTTATAAGACAGATGAAGAGGAACTGCTAGCAATTAATTATCAGAAACAAGCCTTACAGTCCCAGTGCATAGAGCAGAGAAACCAGCACTCATCTTCTGGTTCCAGTTTCTGTTGTCAGTAGTGCTAGATTTTGTGATAAAAGGGTTGCTTCCATCAACACAAATTATTTTTATTCTTCAATATGCCAAAACATTATAGAAGTCAAAAATTCCTGGTGTGGAAACATCATTGATTTAAATTTTTTCCTGTGCAATAAGCAAAGATCGCTATAGCAATCTAAGAAGTTCAAACTTCTGCATTCTGATGTTTTTACTCTAATACATTTATAAAAATGCTCATACCAGAGCAAAGGTGATGTTAATAGATTCTGGTTGTCAACTTTAATTATATACAACTTAACAATTTTCATCTTGCACTACCATATATGGCTAACTCACAGCCCTTGAAAAATCCATGCAGCTCAGCTCAGAAAAGATCAATCACGTTGGTAACCCCATTGTATCCCTGCATAATTCTCTTATCCTCCTTTGGGATTTACATCCCAGTCTCTGATTTTTTTATCCCTTTCTGGAAGATGCTTTATGCAAAATCTTTTGAAGTGTTTGTATTGTTCAGTTTCAATTTAAAATTTTTAATTAAGTTCATATTGTCAGAATGCTGACTTCTTTCACATTTTAGGCTGATGTCAATACATTTTTGGCACTGAAGATGGTGTGTGCAATGCATTCAGTTATTAAGGGGACTATTGGTACTAAGCTTTTGAAGCATCATTGATTTCTCTAGGCAGGTGTTCTCTTACAGTGAGGATCAGCAGTGCTGAAGGCTGGAGAATAGCAAGGCTACATCTAGTTTTGTCCAAGGCTGAGATCTGTGAATTTACCATCAGCTACTCTCATAAACAACCTACCAAGAAGGGTCACTCCCCTACCTATTTTACTCCATCATTTCACTTTAAAAGTAACAGGTTTGTGGTTAATCTGCATTGGAGAATATTTCCGAACTTGTTTTTGAGCCAACCTCAGGAGATCTCTAGGATGGCATTTCCAATGTGAACCAAAAAACTAATTGACACGCATTTTACTGCATTACTTCCAAATACCTCAATCTCAATGCCAGCAATTGCACTCTTTTCAGTGTGAGCACAGA